ACATATTTAGAAAGAACTGAAGGAGGTAAGGGAGTAAACTATGAAACTTTATTGGAAGTATTCCAGACCAAGAAAATCTAGCTTTCATTAGATTCTCAATGATTTACTAGAAAGATAAAGAACCATTCCTCTGAAGAGAGATGAGAAACAGGTAGAGAAAGAAAAATCTACTAAGGAATGCTGGTGATTGGTTGTGGGATTCAGAAAATATGTAAAGCCAAGAGGATCTGATCAACTGGAAGAAAATGGAGTGATGTCAAATGACTGGATGTCTTGGTAAGGTTGAAGTCTAGATGTAGGTTTATTGAAGGAGCAGAAAACCTAGATGGTCAGAGGATGGTGTACTATGACCTTAAAATTTCCCAGATGGATGTGGCTATGGGTATAGTATATGGCTAAGGTGAAATGGAAGAAGTCATCATTGAAGATGAGGAGGTCAAGGAATGACATTACTCAAGGTGTCAGGAGGAATTGGAAAGGAAAAGTAAGCAATGGTGCCCTGTGCCCTAAACTTTTAATGAAGAGAATGAAAGATAGGACCAAGAGGTTGGAAGGTCATTAACAGAGATGAGTAATGTATGCCAGAGTGATAGAAGAGTAGGGGAATTTGGAAGGAGGATGGAAAAGTAGTGGTCATGAAACAGCCATAGGGAGTTAGGAAAGTGAGAACCTGACTTCTTTATGATCTGAGTCCTATCATCCACACTGTCTTACCCCAGTTCTCCATTTGCTTCTTATGGCTTAGTCAACCCTGTCCATGGTTGACTAAGATCTACTTGATCTATGTGGCCTTTGCATCTGAGTAACCTCTGGGAGAGAGGAGACCAAATAGGAATGGGTAGTTATAATTGATATAAAATGGATTTAGGTGAGCAGATCCAACAGAGGTGTGTATGGTGTATTAATTTCCTAGGGCCTCCATAACAAAATACTATAGACTAGGTCCGTGGTTGGCAAACTGCGGCTTGCGAGCCACATGCGGCTCTTCCTAAGTCTTAGTAGTACCCTAATTAAGTTAATAACAATGTACCTACCTATATAGTTTAAGTTTAAAAAATTTGGCTCTCAAAAGAAATTTCAATCGTTGTACTGTTGATATTTGGCTCTGTTGACTAATGAGTTTGCCGACCACTGGACTAGGTCATTTAAATTGCAAGAATTTATTTTCTCACAGTTCTGGAGGCTAAAAGTCTAAGATCAAGGTGTTGACAGGTTTGGTTTCTCTTGAGACCTCTCGCCTGGGCTCACAGATGGCTGCTTTCTTGAGATGTACTCACATGGTCATTCCTCTGTGTTGTCTATGTACTAATCTCTTCCTCTTATGAGTACACCAGTCATATTGTATTAGGGCCCACTATAAGAGTCCCCTTTTAAAGACCCTATATCCAAATATAGTCATATTCTGAGATACTAGGGTTTAGGACTTCAAAATATGAATGGGGGTAGGGGGGTACAATTCAGCCCATAACAAATGGTGTATGTCTTAGGTTCTCAAGGACCCCAAGATTCCCTCTTATACATCACCTTCCCCCACGACTACCATGAGGAGAAACAACCAAACAGGAAACCAGATACCCTGTGTTACCAGCTAGGCTAGTACCAGGTTCTCAGAATCAAGCTCTTCAGTAGAGCTTGGTTAAATGACAAGGCTGCCTTTGGTCAGAAATTTAAGTGTAACACCCCCACCTCCTGCTAGTTTAAATCTTAATCTCCTCTCCTCCCACCCTTTGTCTAGGTGAATGAGAAAGAAGGTCAAAGAGAGAGCCAGAATTGCCTTAAAGAAGCTGCTTCCAAGTTGTTTCTCACTGAGTGAAATAAGGCAGAAAGCAGAAGATGATGTGTGGTTGACTCAATTTCACTGCCCACTAGTAAACTTAGATTCTGGCTTGGAGAAGAGTGAGGAAGAGGATAGTAATCAATTTAGACTAAGAGATGGGAAAAGGAGAGAGGTATCTCCTCTTATAGAGACCAAAGGAGGTTCTATAACCCACAAGCCTAATGGCAACTGAGAATGCATGAAGAATTTGCTCCCCAGCAGAGGTCAAAACACCTTAGCATACCTCTTTATCTGACAATACTCTGTGGTAGGGAGCTGAACTGTGTTGGCCAGGCAAGTGTCTTAAAAAGTAAGTCTCTTTTTAAAGTACTTAGTCTCTTTTTTAAAAATAAATCTTTATTGTTCAGATTATTACAGATGTTCCTCTTTTTCCCCCCCATAGCTCCCTTCCACCTGGTTCCCACCCCACCCCATGCCCTTACCCCCCACCACTGTCCTCATCCATAGGTGTAAGATTTTTGTCCAATCTCTTCCCGCACCCTTCACACCCCCTTCCCCCTGAGAATTGTCAGTCCACTCCCTTTCTATGCCCCTGCTTCTATTATATTCACCAGTTTATTCTGTTCATCAGATTTTTTTATTGACTTGATTTTTAGATTCACTTGTTGATAGATATGTATTTAGTCTCAAATAGAGTGGCCTACAACTTTATCTAAAAGAGAAGGTGAGTATGGAAATCTGAGTTCATGGTCTCAGCCCCACCATCTAATTTCTGTGCAACCCTGGGCAATGCATATATCACCTCTGGGACTAAATTACCTCATCGAAGTATTATTAATCAAGTAGGTAAAATAGAGATGATAATATATGGCCTTTACTGGCTATTTTGGGGATAAAATGAGTCATAACAGAGAAGCATTCTTCTTGGGTATACCTTTTTCTTTTATCTTAGAGATCACCCTCTTTAAAAAAAATCTTTATTGTTGAAAGTATTTCATAGGTCCTCCATTCTCCCCCACGTCCCTGCCTCCCCCATTAACCTCTTTCAGCATGCTCCCATGGTCACCCGCTTTTTAAAACTACTTTGAGATCTTCTAAACTTTAATCTCATCTCAATAGTAGTGTGACAGATATTGTTCCACACACTGAAACAGAGATGCCATGAAGTGTTTGAGTAGGAATGTGCTTTCAAAGATAAATCAAAACACCTAGTCCAACATTTCCATTGCAAATTAGAAACTCCAAACCCAGGAGGACAGACAGAAAGCTCAAGGCTTCACATTGGGTTTGGGCAAAACGTGGTCTCCATTCCTGGCATCTTGACTCACAGACCAGTCTTCTTCCACCATGACTTCACCCTCACCCATGCTCCCAACATGTAGCCATTTACCTTTACAATTTTTTTCATATGCATAAATGCCACCTAATTATTATTTTTAAAAAACTTTTATTTCAATCAACTCTGGATTTATTTTTTAACTAAAATCCATATATTTGAAAACATGGTACTGCCATAAATATAAAAATAAAGATAACGAATAAAAAATTGTTAAATTCTAGCAGAATACCATTGCGTCCTCAAGACTCTGAACCTGAAACCTGCCTTTCCTTGTTAAAGGGAAAATGGGATTCATGGTATAATGATACCACTTTGAGACTTGCTTTTTTATAATATTAGGAGTGAAGGAGAAATTTAAAAGGCAGGACTCTTTTTGGCATATGATGGTGACAGACATTGAGAGTCAACTCATACAATCCCCACTTCTAACCCCTGTCTTCTTTAATGCCTGCTTCCTACGTAAGCTGTAAAACCCTTGAAGTTAGTGGTGGCTGTAGGACCCAGCTCTGGCCTGTGAGACATTAAGAGAAGTCCCCCAATGCTACCTCTCCCTCTTCCTTCTTCTTTTCTGCTTAGATAGTGACACGACATCTGGAGTCACTGCAGCCATTTTGTAACCATGAGGTAACAAGGATGACAATAAAAGCCCAATTCCTACAGCTGGCAGAGCAAAAAGAAAGAAAACAATGTTGAGTAGCTGCCCCAGAACTACCTACCTTCTCACTTCTTGCTATAAAAAGAAATTAAATTCTCTATATTTCAGCATTAGTCAAGGTTTCTCTTTTTACCTACCAAACGAAATTTTTACTGACCCAGTGTTTATTAACTCTAAGTATTTGGCACCTGCAACCAGCTTGACACCACTGGTAGTATGTCTTTCATGCTTTGGGGGAATCTTCTGTAAGAGAACCTGTATTAGTTTGCTAAAGCTTCCATAATAAAATACTGCAGATTGGGCAGCTCAAACAGCAGAAGTTTATTTTTATTTTCTCACAGTTTTGGAGACTAGAAGTTCAAGATCAAGGTGTTGGCAGGTGTTTTAAAGAAGTTCAAGATTAAGGTGTTCTTTTGAGCCATCTCTCCTTGGCTCACAGATGGCCACCTGCTTGCTGTCTCCTCACATGTTTTTTTTTTCTTTTCTGTCTGTGTCCTAATGTCTTCTAATAAGGACACCAATTACATTAGACTAGGTCCCACCCTGACACCCCGTTTCAACTTAATCACCTCTTTAAAGACCCTATTTCTAAATAGTCATGCTCTGAGATACTAGGGGTGGGCAAACTTTTTGACTCGAGGTCCACAATGGGTTCTTAAACTGGACCGGAGGGCCGGAACAAAAGCATGGATGGAGTGTTTGTGTGAACTAATATAAATTCAAAGTAAACATCATTACATAAAAGGGTACGGGTTTTTTTTTTTTTTTTTTAGTTTTATCCATTTCAAACGGGCCGTATCCAGCCCGCGGGCCGTAGTTTGCCCACGGCTGTCCTAGAGTGAACCCAAGCACTTTTTTAGGCACCGGGGATAGAGTTTCCAGACAAAATACAAGACACTCAGAATGCTTGAATTTCAGACAAATGATGAATAATTGCAGCATTTGAGACAATGTGATACAAAAAACAAAAAAGCGTTTGCTGGTTATCTGAAATTCAAATTTAACTGGGTGTTCTGTATTTTAATTTAATAAATCTGGCAACTCTAACTGGGGATGAAATACCAAATGACAAAACAAAAACCCTGCCCTCTTACGGGGAAAGAGACAACAATTCCTAAGTAAAGGCATGACTATCAGGCGGTGACAAACGTGCTGAAGAAACGGAAAGCAGGGGGGAGGGCATTTGTTTCCGATTGCTGCTATAACAAATCTCCATGCTTAATGGCCGGATCCGGCCCGCGGGGCGTAGTTTGCCCACGGCTGTTAGGGCTTGCTTCAACACATGCATTTTGGAGGACACAATTCAGCCTATAAAAGAGCTTAACAGTTTATTTATTTAGTAGAAACTATTTTTTCCTTCCCTGAATTCTTCCCGGTACATGACAACAAGGCTCATGGATGTTCAAAGTCCACAGGCAGGGTCAGGAGTTCTCAGATGAGAGGAAAGTGTCCTGAATTTGGGGTCAGGAGGCCTTGTCTGTAAATATTGGTTGTCCTCTTGCTGACACACTTAGTCTCTCTGAACCTATGTCATCATCTGTAAAAAGATAGGAATATTACTTATAATAATGTATTGGCATTTTTTTAAGTCCCCAGATGATTCTGATAGTCTGGTAGGCTCTGAAGTGATGGCTTTCAGCATACTATAAGTCATTGTGTTGAATAACCCAAATTTTAATTCTAAGCTGTGATCTTTGGAGCTATTTATCAGTTTCTTTGATATTCTTAGGAAGCTTGGATTTCAGACTTTGCCAACAAAAACCCATTGCCCAAATTCCTTACATTTTCTAACACATTCATGGAATTCCAGAAGGTTCCATCTTAGGAGTTGCATATAATAAATACTTCAGTAGAACATGTAAACTAAGTCCTTTCTAGTGGTAGGAATGCTGTGGCACTTACCCTCTTTGTAGTAGTTTTTTGCTCCTTTACCCTGACTATAACCTGGGGGTATTGAGCCCACATCTGCCATTATATAATTTTATGATCCTATATAACACACTATTAGTTCCTTGTATGCATATTTTAAACTTTTTAGTGAAACTTTAAAAAAAAAAGCTAGTTGAAGCTTCTTAAAAATTATTGTTCTGAATACTTATGTTTGAATCCTAATTAATGGGATGCTAGTATGGCAACAGATAAAACCAGTGTCAAGATTAGAGGACCACTTTGGACTCTTTGACTAGCTTTATAGGCCATTAGTAATCCACCTGACCTACTATAAGTCAATGTGCTGAATAACCCAAATTTTAATTCTAAGCTGTGATCTTTGGGGCTATTTATCAGTTTCTTAGATATTCTTAGCTACAATAGTCCTCCAGCCCACATGTGTATGTGTTCATGATCTCAGAAGAGTCCAACTCCCTGATTTCACAGTGGAGCAAACTGATGCCTCCCTCCCATAGTCAACAACCTAGGTGACCCACCCAAGGTCACATACAAGTTAGCCTACCTGTATTGAGCCTACTTCCAGACCACTTCCCTTCCATTGCTCCCACTCCCCCATCTATTCATGACACCACAGGGGGTTTTATCGAAAACACAAGACAATACAGTATCACCAATGTAGTCCAACCCAATGGGAAGCTTCCCTGTAGCCCACCCAGATCACTCCTGAGCCACAACATTCTTGCTTTCACACAGACTCCATCAGAGCCTTGGCTCACTCCCAGGGAGGCACACATCAGATCTGCTGCATATTGGCAGAACTTTGGCTTAGAACTTATTTCAGATGCCTCCCATTGAACGCTGGCAGCCTTGAAAAATCATGGCCAGGAAACCATTCCAAGAGGCTCAATTGCTCTATGACACTTTACGAGGAGAAGCTGATGGCTTTCCCTCCCAAGCTCTCCCCTTCGCGCCCAGGACAAATGAAAATGACTGCATTTCCCTGTATGTTCCCTAAATTAGGAGAGGGCCTGCTCAGCTGCAGCGTGAATGGAGGGAATGTCTTTAATGGGCAGGGCCCTCTGCACAGCGCAGTGTGCCTTGCGCCAAATTCTTTCTCCTTCAGTTTTAAAACCCTTGTGTATTCCAAGAGAAATGTAGTCCATGTGTTTCTGCTTCATTTACACTTAAATCATTTAAATGTTGTTTTGTGAGAGTTATTTGATGTCCAAGGAGCCTGTGAGTCTTCTTAATGGGACTTTTAAGGGGTTGTTTCTATTATGCCTGAAACACAAAGCAACATTTTGTTGAAACAGTGCCTGAAGATAAACCTATTCTCTCATCCCATGTACTTGCACCCACATTATTGACCACAGCCTCTTAATGAGGCCGGACTTGGCAAGGCTGGCATTTGAAAGTGTTAAAATAGAGAAACTACAGAGAAAATGGAGCAAGGAGAATTTCAGTGAGATTCAAGCCATCGTTCCCTAAACTGTGTCAAAGCAAAGTTGGGAGTGCATGAATGTGCCCCCCTGGTTAGAAACGGTGGTAGCCCTTTCTCAGGTACACCACTGGCTAGCTAAAAAAGCCCTCCTTAAGTATAATCCCACTTAAGTTTCATTGCAACCCCATTTTCTAGGTAAGAAAACAGAATTGAAGATGTTAAGTATTGGACCTAAAGTGCACAGCTGGCTTAGATATAAGTTCTGAGTCTAGCACTGTTTTTAAAATGCTTCAAATTGAGTTTCTCTTTGAATGTTGTGTGTGCTTGAATTGTCACATGCATTTATAATACATTACTGAGAAGCAGTACAATATAATAAGTTAGAGCTCAGATTTCTTTCCTCATTGCTTTCTAGCTGTGTGACCTTGGGTAAGTTGCTTACCCTCTCTGGGCAGTGTCAACACCTGTAAAATGGCGACACTATTACTACCTACCTAGCTGAGGTACAAAGATGATTGGAGGGAATTAACACATTATTAGACAGGGTGTGACACATCACTATTAGTGGTAGTAGCAGTAAGAAGTAACTAAGGGCTGGGCAATCTTGGCAAGTCATGCAGCCTCTCTGAGCCTCAGTTTTCCCAAAAACTAAAATGTAAAATGAGTATAATGGTATGACCCTCACAAGTTGGTGGGAGTAACTAAGATGACATCTGTGTGTCACTCTGCCTAACACAGAAAAGGTTCTCAGTAAAAATCTCTTTTTTATGCCCATTTGGTTGTCATTGTTGTGAAGGGAGTTACTTCACTTATTATTCAGCGCAGCTTAGATCTGGTGCTGATTTCTCCACAAATCTGCATATGGACACATATACAGGCGTGGCTCTTCCTACACCGGGGTGCAGGACTTTCTGACTGTGGAGCATCTTCTCTGATTGTGTTAGACCTCCGCACCCTCTGAGTTGGTAAACAGCACAAGTTCTGTGTTTCAGTGGGGACACCGAGCCAATTGCAGGGCCTCTGCTCCCAAACATTCCCGGCCAGCGGCTGTGCTCACAGGAAAACCTGTGCTGTTTGCCCACAGACCTGGGGACCAGGGATCTGTTTTCTTTCCCAGTGTCAGTGTTAGAATTGCCTTCTTGGTTGGTTATTTCTGTTTAGTTGGTGTCCTTTTGCCAATGTCCTGAAAAAGAGCAGAAAACTATAGCCATCTGGCAAGGGAGAGTGAAGAGAAATTAGACTTTGCCCCCCTCCACCCTCTACACTCACACACAGTCACACAGTCACACACACACACACACACACACACACACACACACACACACACACACGGTGACACAAATACCTATTTGAGCCACTCAGTTATTTTCTCTCAGGGACTGGAGCCAGCCAAGCAGGATAAAGGAGGGAACTGGAGGAGCAGATCTCTTCAGGAAGACAGATTCTGTTCTGTCAGGTTCCTCTGAGTGTGTGTAAGAGGGAGGAGAGAGAGAGAGAGAGAGAGAGAGAGAGAGAGAGAGAGAGAGAGAAAGGCAGAGGGAGAGAGGGGGAGAGGGGATCTGTTGCAGGCAGGGGAAGGCGTGACCTGAATGGAGAATGCCAGCCAATTCCAGAGACACACAGGGACCTCAGAACAAAGATAAGGCATCGCTGACACCACATCGGGGACGAGCTCACAGACAACTCAGGCCGGGGAGGACCAAGGCCAGGCAGCCAGGAAAACCCAAGGCAAGAAAATGAGGTGAGTGCCAGGGTAGAAATGGGCAAGGGTGTCCCTTCAGGGACCGGGTGTCAAATAGCCCCGCGGGGTCTGACCTTGTCTCTGGGCTGACTCACCTTTGTGTCCTATGGGTGGTACAAAGGGTTTCTTATCAATCCTTGGGGCTCTGAGAGGGAGACTGAGCTGGGCGCCTTCCTGGGACTCCGGAGACATGCAACTTGAAACGGGAGACTTTGTGCAAATCCTGCCCAGGGCTGTTGAGGCTCAGATTCCGCTTCTGCCAGTGTAGGGTGCTGCCTGCTGGCGAATGAGACTTTCCTCCTGCTGCCCACAGGCTCAGTTTTTTGTTTTCCTCCTCTGCAAAGAACATTGGTTTACCTCTCCCAACACTTTGTGAGTTAGATATGTGTTTGTGTGTTTATTTGTTCTGACCGGAAAAGAAACCAGCTTCCCACAGCTCAGCTCTGTGGTTTCTTAAACCCTCAGAAGTTGGCCAGTTAAAATCTCAATTTAGAAAACTAAAAACCTGTCCCCGTTTTACAGTTTTCTATAAATTTCTGAATTTCTGACTGAAATCAGAGGCAGCTGGTGGTATGAATCAGAATACCAATAGCACCAAATGGCTCTTACAGGATAGCACAATTTTATTTTTTTAAAAGGAGACTTTGGTTCTGAACCGAGGACTTTAAATTCTAATTGTTTTTATGCTCTTCAACATTCCCTATTCCTCAGCTATAGTTTGAGTTACTTGATCCTTCCTACCATACATTCCTTGTAAGTTTTCCTCTGCAAGTCTCAAAACCTTACCACCATAATTGTTTTTACTACTTATAAGTGTTAATGCTGTTAAGAATTTAAAAAAAGGAAGAAGAAGAAAGGAAAGAAAAACACTGCAGATGTTAAGTCCCTAAACCCCTCTTTTCCCATTAATTTTCTTCTCCATTGAAAAAGGGGGTTCTATTTGTTTCTCTTTTGCAAAGTCACCTAGCAACTTTTCTGGGTCTGGGATCAATGAGGGGCTTCAGACTGTTAACTCTTTGAACTCAGATTACCTGTGGTTCAGAGAGGTAATCGGGTCTTTAAGGTTAATTCTTTTAAAAGAACATTCTGCTCTTTTTAAATCCATTGTAATTTTAGATCTGCCATCTAACTTCATATTCCTTTCTCCTAAAAGAGATGAAATGTATGCCATCTACATGCAATGACAATTTGATTGATCTGTCACTGTTTGAATCTCACCCTACCCCCAATGCCCCAGTCATACCAAACTACAGGGCTGATGAACAAGTTCTGTGTCTTTGCGTTTACCCATTCCTTAACCCAGAACATCCTTCCCCCTTATTTTCTACCTAGGGGACCCGATTGCTCCAGCCAACTCAAACATCACCTCCTCTTTTCTAGCCAACATCCCCAGAATAAGCATCCTCTGTCCTCTGGGGCTATATCTCTTCTTGTCTTTGTACATCTCCTTGTTTAAATGCCCACCTCCTCTTCCAAGATTGACTGTCTCCTAAGATACGGAATCTTTTTGTATTTGTATGCCCAGTGTCTAGCATGATATCTGTTTCCTTATCTGTTAGGCATTCAATAAATTTTGGCTGAATTGCATTCAGTTGTTAAATAGCACAAATACTACAGAAAAGTGCTCCACTAGAAGTTTTCCAAGAGTCTTGCCTCCTATAGAAGGGCACTTCAGAGTTTACAAAACCCTTTTATGGGCACTGTCTCTTCTGGTTTTCAGATTTTGGATAAGGTAAAGATTTATGAAAAAGTGACGATAAAAGCAGTTAACAATTTACCCAAAGCCACATGGATGATTTGGAAAGCTCAGACTTAAACTTGGGTCTTTGGACTTCAACTCCAGGACTTGAATTTTTTTTCTACCATATTCTACCAGACTCTCAACCAAGTAACATTCTATACAGGCATCTCCCAGTCCTCCTGCACATTAGCATCATCTGTAATGCTTCAAAGTGCCGAGGACTGGCCCTCACTCCAGACCAATTAAACTAGAATCTTTTGGGGGAGGGGCTTTGGTATTAGTATCTTTTTCAAAATTTTTCACATAAAGCCATGGGTTTTTGAATTATTTTTCACAGGATTAATTGCTTTGGCCAGATGCCTGGGCATATGGGCATGGACCCAGCTTCCTCTGTGAGCTTCGGTTATTCCCTTCTTCTGTTGAAGCTAATTTGCCATATGGTATTGGCTATGACATGTCACCTCTTGGGGTATCCTTTTCATCACCCGTCAACTAAGGGTGTTGTCAATGGGATCTATGCAGTCCCTTTCAACTCTTCTACTCAGAGACAGTCTGGATGTAGTTCGGGTTGAAGTGAGGGGAGTGAATGGAGAGGATAGAAATTACTACTCATTGCATAATCACTGATCTACACAGGCATTTTTATCCTTCCTGATGGCCTGTTCCCACACTGGAGCCTCTGAAATCCCAGTTTTCGACATTACTTTTGACATTTCAAGCAAATGTAGCTCAATTTTTTTGATTAGCTAGAATATAGATAGCAGGTGTCAGGAATTGTACAGCCGGTGCCTGGTGTATAAGAAGCCAAAAACAGTCAGAGAGTGTGATGGGGAATGAAAGCCAACACTTATATCCTCTGATTTGCAGCCCCTAAAGCAAGCAAGCATATGCTCAAGCCCATTATGTGCAAGGAGATATTTGTTTCATATGTTCGACTGTTTTGAGATGCAAACAGAATAGAACAGAAAGCTTCGCAGGCCATCCTCCCACACTAAACAGTTGTCTACCCCACATGGTCCTAGGCTTCTGGGCTGTCAGCAGCCGGCCCTTGACAGCCCCGCAGTAGGAGGCTGAGTCTCCTCCATGTGGTCTGGAAAAAGCAGCCATGGAGAAAGTTGACCTTTGAGCCTTGCACAATCTGGATGTCGCTATTACAGGGAAGTCCGATTTGGGAGCCAACCGTCACTCCTAACCCCCTTGTTTTTTGGGAAGCAGCATGATGGAGTAATCATAACTAATGTTTGCCTAGGGCTGGGCAGTTAACAAAGCACTTTCCAACCGCCTTTTTCTGAGAGCAGCCCTGTAGGAAGTCATTATTATCACCAAATGAAGAGACAGAAACCTAACATGACTTTCCCAAGATGGTTCAGATAAATGAAGTAAAAGTCTGAACTGGAACCTAGTTTTTCTGCCCCAGGACCAGCACTCTCCCCTCCCCAAGCAGCACTGCAGCAGAACTCCCTGCCCTGCTGACATGGGTATATTTCCTCCCTTGAATGTAGGGCTGCCTGGGCCCTGTGAGTGAGAGTTTCTGGACTCAGCTTTCCTATGAATTCACTAGAGACTTGGACTTATGCCTTCCCTTCTCTCTGCCTCTGTGGCCCTTCCTCCAACAGATTGGTTTAAAAAAATATTGACCCTGGCAATTGGATTAAAACAATTTGCTTCCTTAGTTGCATCTCACATGTTGCTATTATAAGGGCCTTGGAAAAAATTTAAGTAATTTTATTGTTTTCTTTTTATTGAAAAAAACAGTACAGGTCCTTCTAAACAAATTTGAACATTTTGTATACACAAAAATAAAATTAAAAACACTCATATTCCACGTCAGTGATAACCACTGCTAGTACCCTGCTGATACCCTTCTAGGCCTATTTGCACTTACCTATTTATCTTTTATGTAAATATTATGAGAAAGCTATGTATATAGATTCAAAAATTCATGCATATGCACATATACACATATATGCATCTGTACTTATGGGACAGAGGGTTGGGAAAAAGTTTCCTGACTAGCAAAGATATAACTATTAATCCTAAAATGCTGGTATAATTTCCCAGCATTGACTTTTGGGGCTGTATAAGACTGTGGCCCCATTTCATTCATCCATTCACTCATTCAGTCATCACTGATTATATATTAGGCTCTACACTAGGTCCTTTATATACATAACCTTGAATGCTCATGTGAGTTTTTTAATTAGAGATAATCCCATTTTTATATGAGGAAACTGGAGCTCAGAGAGACGAATTACCCAAGATTTTATGGCCAATAAGCAGAAAAATTGGGATTTGAACCCCAATACATCGAACTTCAGGGGCTGTTCCCCTAAAGCAGTGCAGTGTGATACGTGCTCAATTGAGTGAAAGATACTCCATAGCATCAGAAGTTTTAAACTGGATGATGGAGGAGAAATAAGACAATTAGGTGGGAATGATTACGGCATGTGGAAGAAGGCTGAGTTATGGGTGGGCATGGCATGCCAAAGTATGGCTGGCACTGAGATGAAGGTGGACAGGCAGATCAGCACTAGATCAAAAAGGGATCATCAGCCAACCCGGGAGCAGATGCTTTACCCTGCAGGCACAGTGGAGCAGCATGGTCACATCTGTGTATTAGTAAATCAACCTTGGAGGAAGATTGCTGAATAGTATAAAGTGGAGGCAGGGAGACCACTTAGGATGCAATAGCAATCTATAATAATAAAAGTGTAATATGCTAATTAGACTGGACAGCCAAACGACATTCCAGACGTCATTCCAGACGTCCTTCTGGATGAAGCAGCGGCAGCAAGGGCCGAGGCAGAGGCGGTTAGGAACCATCAAGCAGGTAGGCAAGCAGTTAGAGGCAATCAGGCCAGCATGCAGAGTGGTTAGGGGTGATCAGGCAAGTGAGTGGTTGGGGCAATCAGGCAGGAAGGAAAGTGGTTGGAGAGATCAGGCAGGCAGGCAGAGGTGGTTAGGAGCGATGAGGCAGGCAGCTGAGCAGTTAGGGGCATCAGGCAGGCAGGCAGAGTGGTTAGGGGCAATCAGGCAGGCAGGCAGAGTCGTTAGGGGCGATCAGGCAGGCAGGTAGGCCAGCGGTTAGGAGCCAGCGGTCCCGGATTGTGAGAGCAATGTCTGACTGCGATTTAGGCCCTGCAGGATCAGGCCTAAACTGGCAATTGGACATCCCCC